TACCCCAACTTGCAATCACATTGGAATTTAAATTTTCAGGGCTCAGCACTGGACAATGTTAGTTGTGCCTCAATGGAAGAGGCAGATGGGCGCATTTTCCTTCACGCGAAAGACATGGCTGTGCATGGGTCAAAATCCATTATCATAAGGTGCTCTGACACTGATATTGTCGTGCTAGCGGTTTCTTTCTTCCATGACCTGCAACAACAAGGGCTGAAGGAGTCATGGCTGGCTGTGTTACGGTGTAGGGTCAAATAAGCGGTACATCGCCGCCCACTCGATCGCTCTTAAGCTAGGTAAGAGCGTATCTGCCAGGGTTGTTAGACGTATGATAAATATCGTACATGTACGATATTTTCGCCCCGCGTACGATGTGAGTTTCTGTATGATCATCATACGCGAAAAGTACGATATTTTCACGAAAGGTACGATATTGTTGCAAATTCTCGATAGGATGCCTAAAAATGCCTATCAATGCGCCCCGTTTCGTTGCACCGAAGTTGGCACTTCTGGCGAACCCCCTCCACCAACCTCTGCTCTTCCATTTCACGAAGTTGACGGTTATGCTGATAGATGCCGCTGCTTTCCTATTATTGATTGCAATTGCGATTCGTTTGCGCGGTGATCGTGTGTGCTTTTCAAAACCACAGGTGAGTCTTCCGTACTTTTTATTCTCTTACCAATTGAACAAATAAATTGCAACAACAATAAAATGTCAATGTGTTGTGAAGTGTTCGAGAACGAGAGGTTAAGTGCAGTCCCTAACCTTCCTCGCGATGGTTGTGTATCGTTTAAATGGTAATTTTGGATATCTTATTTTCGATTTAGGATGGCGTTAAGTAGTGATGAGGAAAATGACGGCGACGCAACGCCACCTCGGTCGAAAAAAGCTAAGTCAGATTCTTCGGGACAAGGCAAACACAGGCAACAGCATTTTCGTTCGGCGTGGAAGACAAATACAAAGAAATTCGGACCGGAGGTCGGCGCATGGCTAGATAAGGACCCGAAAAGTAATACTAGGGCCAGGTGTAAATGGTGTGACTGTGGTTTCTCAGCCAACGTGACATCCATCAAGAATCATTTCGAAACTCAAAAACATGGTGAGGAGTCAGATCGGCGAAAGGCGAACAGAACCCTTGACAAGTTTGTGGCACCAGCCTCTGCAACTGAAACCAGCTTGAAGCACAAACAGGCAGTGCGTCGAGCAGAAATTGTGCTTGCCGGCTGTATCGCCGCTCACAACGCGCCTATGCACTTCGTAGATCATTTGGTACCTGCTCTCAAATCAGCTTTTCCGGACTCCCCGATCTGCAAGGGCATAGAAATGAAGAGATTGAAGTGTACGAGAGTGATCACAAATGTCATCGGCGCCATACATAAGGAAGAGTTGTCCGAGACGTTGTGCCAAGTGAAATTTTCAATCCTTACCGATGAGAGTACTCATTTTAACGTCAAGACGGCGGCTGTCGCTGTGAGGTACTATGATAGAAAGGCTGGACGCATTGTTACCAAGTGAGTACGAATTTTACAATGTGGGGGTACCAAAGTAAAGCCGGAAATTATTATTGCATGATTTTATTTTACTTTTTTCTAGGTTTTGGGATCTATCCGACGTATTTCCTAAGGGAGATTTCGAGGCCGCACGGGAGGGTGCCAGTGCGGACCGTCTGTTCCACCTTCTCATGGCTGCATTTGAGAAAATGAACATCCCGGTTTCGAATTTTATTGGGTTTGCATCGGACGGTGCCAGCGTAATGCTTGGTCGCAATAGCTCTTTGATGACAAGACTGAAAGAACGCTGCCCCGGTAAGTTGTGAAAGTAAAATAATCGGTAGCGTTGTTGTTGCACGGGTAACTGAAACGACTTTTTCTCTGTACAGGGATTGTGATAATGAGATGTGTCTGCCATTCCCTCCACCTGGCGGGGAAGGACGCGTTGAAAGCATTGCCAAGAGCCCTTGAGGATATGGCAAGGAATATCCACAGTTTCTTCAAACACAGCTCAAAACGAGTTGCCCAGTTCGCTGAATTTCAGCTCTACTTGGAGGTAGCTGAACACAAGATGCTGAGCCTGTCTCTGACGAGGTGGCTGTGCCTGCGGGAAAATGTAGACCGCATCTTAGAGCAATGGGAACCTTTGCGCCTCTACCTCACAGAGCACAGATTAGAGGACAACACGCACGGTACCGAGATGCTATTCACCTGGCTTCACGACCCCATAACGAAGGCATACTTCCTGTTCCTGGCTTGGGCCCTCCCGAAAATCAGTACTCTGAATGCGTATTTCCAGCACAATAAGGTGGTTGTCACTTCTCTCCATGAGAAGATGGCGGAGGGATACAAAGAGCTACTTAATAGTTACATGAAACCAATCTACTTGAGCAGGTAGTGTGCATATTTATAAAGTGCCTTGTTTTATTTCGCGCACGACCGAGCACTGACCCCTCTGCTTCTCTCCGCAGGACTCCCTTGACAGAAATAAACCCTAGTCAGCTGGACATGTTTTCACCCCTCGCCAATATGTATCTCGGCGTTAAGGTCCAGGACCAGCTCAAACACCCAGACATCACACCTGAAGCGTTGGAGGACTTTAGAAAGCGTTGCAGGGACTATATGATCATCCTGTGTAACGGGATAAAGTCTCGGTTCGACTTCGGGGATCCCCTGCTGACGGCCCTCCCCGTTCTGAAGCCAAAGACAGCCACCAAGTTCGAGGCCCGTCAGTACAGCAACTCCATCATTCCGTTCGCGGACCTCGTGCCCCGCGCGAAGCCCGCCGACCTGCAGGCCCTTGATGACCAGTGGAGGCGCCTTCCCCTCGATCCTGACATTCCCGATGAGGTCCTGGCGGAGGAGGAAGTCGATGTATTCTGGCACAAGGTAGTGTTGCCATTTGTACGCTTAGTCTGGCACTGGCATAACATGACTTCGTCGTATTAAAAAACATTTTTATGTTTCCAGATTGGGCAGCTCACCGACAGCGACGGGGAACTTAAATATTCTGTCCTTGCTGAATTTGTTCTGGCTGTGCTAAGTTTGCCGCACTCTAATGCAGATGTAGAGCGTATCTTTAGCAAAATTACGCTGATAAGGACACGTCTACGAAATCGGCTCGTCACTCCCACGGTTGAGGGGCTTTGCTTGGCGTCTGATTGCGTCAAATCAGCACCCGGCTGTTGTGGGTCGTTTGAGCCGCCAGAGAAAATGCTCAACTCCATGACATCTGGGACTTTGTACGGCAGCAAAGACAAAGAAGCAGGTATATGACGCGCGTGAATTCGCGTTTTGCTCCTAAGCTGCCCATTACTCATAGGATTAACTCTTTCAGGCAACGCCGCAGCTGCAGCTGCAGGTGACGACCCGGAAAACGTAGTCGACGAGGATTTCGTCTGGGAGGTGGAGGAGGAAGATTTTGACTAGTCCTGACAAGATCAGCATAGCCTTAATGCGTTGATTTTTATGTATTTTATCTTTTTTATTGGCTGAGCGATTAGCGAAGCCCATTACTCCACTGACCGGAAAAGTTTCATTCTGTTTGTTTGTCTGTTTGTCTGTCTGTCTGTCTGTCTGTCCGCACGATAACTCGAGAAAGAATTGAGATAGCGACCTGGGATTTTCAGGGTCGTTTTGTATCATAAAAAGAAAGATCGAGT